TGTATAAAATTACAAGAGAAAGGATGGTGGGTGAATACGGCACTGCAGTGAGACAGGGGAGCTCTTTGCCCTTCTCGGCTCTTCTAAGAGCTCCTGGCTGACCTTGAGCAAGTCAGTTCACCTCTTGTTTCCCATTTGTGAGGTGGGAATGGTGGTGTCATGTGGACAGGATCTGTCATCCACTGTTTGTTCATTTCAGGGACGAACAGCATAACCATGAGCTGCTTTGATTCCCCACTTGGTGTTTGGAAGCCAGACAGGTACAGCCCATGTGCATGGTACTGAAGCTGTCCTAATAAACCTTGCTAGTCCCAGCAGCTTCATCCCAACACGGTCATGCTGGTCAGTCTGTCAACCTGTAAGGTTCCTAGGAGACAAATAAATCTGTCTTTGAGATGACATCCTGGGCCACCGGTTGATCATCCCTGGTTTATTTTGTCTACTTTAGGTGGAATGTCTTCGAGGCCTCTTTGTGTTGCACCCCCCCACCCCTTTGGGCACCTGATCTTATCCATGGGCACCTAAATGGTGGTGCAGTACAGAGGAGAAATATGAATATAGTCAATTGGTTGTGCAGAATCCAGAATTACTTGAGCCATAAGCCTGTGAAATACATGTGGGAAGCATGAAAAGAATTTGCCAGAATTTACAATTTACCAAGTATTGATATGTATATATTTCAAATGCCCACACTTAATGGGAGATACTAACATTGGCATTTCCTCAGCATACAAGGAATGATTTTATGCTTTTAATGTAGAAAGGCTTTTCTTTTGTAACTAGTAATGATAATAATAAGAGCATTATAATGCCTGTCTGGCTGTGGAGAACTTTGCCCTTTCTCTCTTACACTTTTCAGTGCAATAGAAATTATTTAGAGGATTGAATAATTCTCTGCATTTCTGTTACTCTGGTGTTCAAACAAGTAAAACATCCTTAAAACATAAAACACCCCCTATAGTCTCAACAGAAATTGAGTTGGTCAGGAAAGAGAAAAAAGAGAGAAAACACTGAAATAGAGAGGAAGCTATTTCAGATGCCTTCTTAGAAGACTGAAAGTCTGTATGAAAACAACATGCAATGTTCACCAATTCTTCAAATAATGTTTGAAAAATAGCAAGATGCTGTTAATGTGCAGTATCGCAATATCATTCATTAAAGAAGGACACATGAAAGGCCTGAATGGCTACGGGCTCATCAGCTTATTATCAGTGGTGGGTAGAAGTCTCACAAAAGATGCAGGGACTTTTTGGCCTCTAGCCAAAGAAGAAGTCAGGATTCAGAAATAGTACCTGAACTGTGAATTACCTATGACAACATCAAGGGTTAAGGGAGAGATAACTAAGTGTAGTGAACTATTATGTGAGCCTTTTATAGACTATAAAATGTATTTTTTCTCCAGAGAAATAAAAGCATTTTAGAATACTGAGGCTTGAAAACAACAGTAAAGAAAAACTGTGAAACTCACATATGGAGATAAAATTAGATGTCAGGATTAATTAAGAAGCAATCTATTTGTAATATTCTAAGAAGGAATATAATTTTGGCGGGGTTTTTGGTATCACTGGAAAATTTCTCCCAGTGAGATTAGGAATGGTCAACCAGTTGACATTTCCAGGGTCAGTTAAGACTGACTGTATTTGATATGATGAAAAGCAAAGCTGTAGATGGCTTGGGGTAGTATAGCTCCATCACTTTAAAGGGAATAACTTACCATTTGCCCAAAGGCAGAGCAGGATCAGCATTGCCCTCCCGCCCCGGCAACTGAGTTTCTTTAGCAGTGAGGGGATACAAGCATGCAGTGAAGGCTGACCCAGGTATCCTCTCTACCTGTCCCTGCAGAGAGCAAGAGACAGCTTTGTTCTCCAATTCAGAGCACTGTTCTTCCAGGCTGCTGTTTTGTTGTCGTCTGCACCTTGTGATTAGGGCTGGGAGTACATCAGCCTTCACCAGAGAAAGCAGAAAATAAGTCTTCAGAGCGGCAGTCAGGGGCGGGGGCACCAGAATGGACCGACGATGGTCACAATGGCTGCTGGTGCAGTGGACTGAGATCCGGGGCTGGCTCTGCTTAGTGCCTGACAGTGTGGGGTCCTGGTCAGAGCTTCAGCTATTGCACCAGCTCTAATAAATAACAGTGCAGACATTTCTTCTCTCTCTTTTAGTTCTGAGTGATGTGAGAGAAGTTGGTTAATTTTTTCCACTGAGCTTATTTCTAAAAAATGAATTCATATTAATTTAAACACCATCAATCTTTTTCTCTGCTGTTGGCCTTTGACTGGGGAGAGCAGGTGTGCTGGCTCCTCTCTCATCCTGCTCCATCCATTTCAGCAGCAATTTCTGATAAGTTTTGTCACCTCCATCCGTACTGTGGAGAAATATTGAGCGAGCGTAGGGAGTGGCAATGTGAGAGCACAAAATTACACTCCTCATCAATCATTACCCTCTAGCAACTTCCAGGGCACTGTAAATTGCTGACTAACAAGGGAGAATTAGCTTGATAAAATCACCATTAGTGTCAGTTCAGAATGATGTAAAGTTTTAAAGACACTGCTGTCCTCTCTGTCTCTCCCTCATCCATTAGTGTGTCTGTTAGTGGAGATCCCAATCCAGCAAAGCACGTAGGCACATGCTTAATTATAGGCAGATCGGTAATCCCAAGGAAATCACTGGGATATGAGTCCTAAGCATGTGTTTCTGTGCTTCACTGGATCAGGGCCATAACACACACTCTCTGAGCACAGAAATGATAAATATCTCTGTGTGAGCCAGTTTCTTGATTCAAAACCAGATTTAGACTCACTAGCTGGACTTAGAAATATGACAATCAAGTTTTACTGCAAGAGACCACAGTAGTTAGTAGATATACAGCATTATATTCAGCCTCTTTAACCTTCCTTTTCTTAATTATTATTTGAGTCTTATCAGTTTATGCTAGCTAGAAATGTGCCTCTCTAAACCTCTGCATAGCCTTCTTAAAACTCTGCAGTTACTGATCTTTAGACCATGTTTGGACCCATGCATAAAACTTAAAGCACAGCCAGATCAGGAAGAGTTTTTTAAAAGTTACAGGTGAGATGCAGATGCAGCTAATATAGGTAACAGGTGGTTGTGGTTTAACCCATCAGGCAGCTATAAACACCACACAGCCATTAACTCACTGTGCACCCCCCCCCTCCCCCCCCAGCAGTGGGATGGGGGAGAGAATCAGGGAAAAAAAAAGTTAAATTTGTGGGTTGAGATAAAGACAGTTTAATAGGACAGAAAAGGAAGGGGAAATAATAATACTAATAAGGATAAAAGAATATACAAAATAGGTGATGCAGAATGCAATTGCTCGCCACCCGCCGACCAATGCCCAGCCAGTTCCTGAGCAGCAATCGCTGCCCCCCCCGGCCAACTCCCCCCAGTTTATACACTGAGCATGATGTCACATGGTATGGAATATCCCTTTGGCCGGTTTGGGTCAGCTGTCCTGGCTGTGCCCCCTCCCAGCTTCTCGCTGGCAGGGCGTGAGAAGCTAAAAAGTCCTTGACTAGTGTAAGCACTACTTAGCAACAACTAAAACATCAGTGTGTTATCAACATTATTCTCAAACTAAATCCAAAACACAGCACTCTACCAACTACTAGGAAGAAAATTAACTCTATCCCAGCCGAAACCAGGACACAGGTTTTATTAGCATATGGACTTGTCTCAGTTTTGCCAGACTGTATACCAAATATTACAATTTGCCTTATGGCTTCTCAGTGTTTGGGGTTTGTTTCTTCACGTTTTCAATTTTTCTTCACAGTCTTGAAGACAAGAACCTTATTTCTAAGAAAAAAAACACAACAAAAAAAGCTCAAAGTAAACAAACAAAACCAACCCACTAAAGATATAACAATGGACACGTGAATTCTCATATAGTCATTTGATTACAACAGCTGTGAAAAAGGAAAAGTGCAAGGCATTTCAAGACTTCCCACAACCACCAGGGTGATCAGCCCCTCATTTGTATTTCAAAATTGCTCTAAAGTTTGATCTTTTATTGCTTTCATTATTTGATTATCCAGCTGGAATCTAAGACTTTGTACCTCTGACGCTGTCCTCCTTTTATTTTTTCATTTGGTTACAAAGCTGTAGTGACTTACTCATCACTACGGATAGTTATTTACATTGAAAGGCTGAGAATGTCCATCTGTTTAGTTGTAGCCCACTCCATGATCACCAGATGTTTCATTGCTCCACAGCCATCTGGAACTGGGGCTTGATCTGCTGTGACATTACATCCATTGCCTCAGAGTGCCCCAAAAGTAATCCAGTCATCTTGTTTGAGCAGTTGATTTGTTTGAAGTCATAATATCACATTTGAGAACAGAATAGCACACCTTTGAATGCCGGAAGCTATAACTGTGTTGATCTAGTCCGATCTTCCACAGGACACAGAGCAGAAAATATCACCTACCTCTGTTTCATTTTTTACTTTGTGGAATGACGACTTCTCCTGCTGTTGAAGTGGACTGTACTTTTACTCTTTCCAGAACAGCTGACCACTGGAACTTCAATGAGGAAAATGTCATATCTTGACTGTTGCAAATGCTCTAATATATCTTAATGGAAATGAATATTGTTACTCCTCATTTACAAACCAAAGCAGCAAACTTGTCTTTCATAAAACAAAATTGGTGTCTATTCTGTGATAGACCTGAATGCTAGTTAATAATAAGATAAGTATTAATCCTGCTAAAAATTTCTGTCTGTGAAGCAGGAGTGCTGGGACAGATTCTCAGCGACTGCAGATGGATGCAAGTCAACTTATTTTAGTGGTCCTGAGTAGCTTCACACCAGAAGAGGTGTGGGCAAGCCGGTGTCTTTTACAACCCCACTCTTTTGAAATATAGTGCTCTTTGCGCTACCAGAACTGTTTGAAGGAATGTCTACTGCCCACAATCCATGTGAAGTCCATTGCATGCTCTGGTCCTATTTTGTCATTCAATTTTGACACTAATTTGTGTTTGCAGGTGTGAAAGCTGTGGTGCTGTCTTCCACTCTGAGTGCAAAGTGAAGGCTGTACCATGCCCCAGGTGTGTGCGTAAAGAATTGCAGAAGAAGCAGAAATCCTTCTGGAAGCGACTGAATATGGATGAAAACTTTGAAGAGTCTTGCAACATGTTTGAGTTGTCATATCAGAACACATGAGTTCCTTAAGGCAGTGGCCAGCCTGAAGAGAATCCCTTTCCTAGCTGCCAGCTCAAGCAACTTCTCAGCTTAGCCAGGCAGAAATCTTTTTGCAAAATAATATCTGACCTTCCTCATCTGTGAATAGCAGCTGCCAAAGTGGCCATAAAGCCTTGTTGGCTTTGAAATACCAATGGCTAAACTGCATTTTTGCATTTAAGTCCAGCCGCTAGCTCTCATATAAAATGTGGTTTACTTGAAATGCTTTAGGTCTAGCTAATTAAGCACCCAACTTTTTCCTTTCCACCTCTGGAGAAGACCTTTCCTCAAGGCAGAAAATACTTGCTGCCATGACCACATTATTTTTTATGTTGTTCGTTTAGAATTGATGAATCATCTACTTATTTATGGGTATTATTTATTTATTATTAGCCTTGGCAGAGGTTCTGGTGAGGTGTTTCACAGAACCCAATAGGGCAGGAATGGTTTTAAACCCACCTGCTCCTTCTGATGTGGACACGTGGTTCCATTTCCTCATGTTTCCAGAGAGCTATTTTTAAAGGATCAGTGAACTTACATGTCACTCCTCCCTGAAGAAAGAAAAGTATCTCCCATCAAACCTTATTCAGGGTCCTTGCAAACATAAGACGCGGAATAATTCCTTCAGCTATGATTATATATTTATAACCACCCCAGTGAACTATTCCATATGCAAATAAGCAGGGGACTTGCTGCTGTTTTTGTTCAGGCTGGGTGTATCAGTCAAGCTCTGTCACTGAAGTCCATTGAGTTTTACCCTGGTTATTCTTGATCTATGTGAGGCCACGTCCTCATCTCCAGTAACATGATGTTGGTTCTGACCTTCTGCTAGTGTCATATTTTAAGACATTTTAAGTGTCCACATTGGTTTTGTTTTTATTTCGTGAAGTTTACTTTAAATGTTTCTCTAACCTGAACCTGTTAGACTGATAGTCAGGAAAGTGGTCTTGCCCACGTTAGTTAGAAAATACCTCCAAAATTGTGAAACACTAGTTTGCTGTGCTCACGTGAGATTTGTGTCCTGCGTTCTCTGCGAGCTCTAAGGGATTTTATACTTCTGTAGTGACTTCCATGGTGGAGAGCGAAGTTCTTCAAGGTATGGTTCTGCTCCACACACCTGGAACACAGGGAAGTATTAAACACAGTAAATTACATATATTGTGAAAGGGGAGTATGTGATGCATTTAACTGGGGAGATGTGTCATCACTGGTAGTATGTTTAATTCATTGCGGCTTCACCTCCAGTGAGCACTTAGAGATCCTCCTCCCTCCAATCCACATTCTTAACTCTTTCTCCAGACCCTGCAGTAATATGTGTATTACATACATATGAAAGCAATCACATATATACACACACATCTATATACAGAGAGCAAATATGGTTTCAGGAGAAAAAAGCCAGTCACATGCATGTGTATTTTTCCTCTCACATAGGTTTGTGAAAATGCAGAATACTGATCTTTGCTTCCTATATAATCTGCAGGCTGTTGTATTCAAGGCAGAAAGCAGTCCTGATCATTGAAGCACCTCACTAATTGCTGAAGTATTTTAAATAAAAGAACAGGGTACATCATGCTTACATTAAAAGGTAGAATGCTACAACGAATTGCCTTTTACTGGAGTATAAGTGGTTACCTTTTCCAGTCTCCAGTCAAAGAAAGTAGCTGAATCTGAGCTTTCTCAAATTTGAGTGCAACTATATAAGCATGTTTATATCTGTATACATTAAACAACCAGTGCCTTTCTTTTCCAGAAGTCCTTCTCAGAGTGGGATTCTTTGGAAGGAACTGAGGGTTTTTCCTTGTTCTTGGCAAAGTAGTATAGGGATTCCCATATTTGCAACCTGGTGAATCATGCACCTTTGTCACTAAAATTAATACTTCCCCTACACAGGGATGCCTCTCAGCTCACTCTTTCTCATGTGAAGTGAGTTGCTTTCGGCTATCATCCTTAAAGATATATTCCTTGCAAGTCCATTCCCACGTGAAGAATTCCCTGCATGTTCACAAATGCAAACACTGGGGAAGTATTGTGGAATTAGTCATGCAAACAGGAACTGCGGTGGTACTGGCTGAATAAACAGTACGCTCCCATGTTTTTCAGCATGTGTCACTACAACTAGTCCTGTGGCAAAGCCAGTAGCTCTGAAACTGTCAGAATCTGGCAGGTGCTATTTTGAATTAGCTCTAGACATAATGGTGGGTCATTAAAAAAAAAAAGGTGGTGTTTTTCGTATCATCGTGTTCTGGTATTTAAGATACCTTACAGCACTGGTTCATGTCCAGCTCGGTTTAGAGAAGGCTGCTTGTGTGCACTGTCAAAAACCCTATGGAGTCAAGGAATCCAGGTTCAGACATTGCAAACTATTAGTTACTTTGACAGATGTCCTGATCTCCAAAGTACCAGTTGTGTGGGTGGTTAGATATTCTAGCTGAATTCTGGAATAACAACATAGACAGCACTGGATTTACTCTGGGTTTGTACAGGTGTTACAGAACAGTTTCTTTGCAAACTGAGATTTACAGTAAAAAAGAGTATGATGTTGGCAAAACTGCTGGAATTAGTCATGGGTCCAGAACCACTGCCATTACTACCGGCAAAGAGCAAAAGCATGTTGTTACGATATGCTGGCAGCGCCCAAAGCTTTATGTAAAAGGATACTGTACAATACAGATCAGATTAATTTCTTTAAAATCCAGTGTTGTTGTAAACAAGCCAGTTCCTAAAATGGATACACATTCATTTCTACCTTGGAAAAGTAATATAACTTCTCACAGTAGCTATAGGAGCAGACTGTAACGTGGAAGATGCTTTCCTCTCAGGGATGCCTAGCTCCTATCCAAAAAAAGTTATTCCATATGAATGAGTAAGATAAAGTCTTCTGTCACTGCCTTTCATAAGCATAATGAAAGGCTTGATCCTGCCCTCAGAAGGTGCCAATGCAGTGGGAACAAGCCCTATTCGTTTTTCAGGATTGCAAGGCAAGAGAATAAACATAAACTACTGCTCACATTACTAACTCTCAAAAGACCCAACTCTAAAAAGACAATTTTCCTGCAAGAGCCACGTGCTAGCAGGAGACTCAGCCTGGAGTTCTGTAGGTGGTTTGGATTTCAGACAACTCTGTAGCCTTGCACGGTTGTCTCCGCTGTACTAACAGTGCTGCATGCTGCTCCCCAGTGCTACTCTTCCCATTCTGCAGCCCATAGCCTGCATGTGGCTCTGCTCTGCAGACTGGTGGGCATCAGCTGGAAAAGTACCTGGGGTCTTTCCAGATTGCACAATCTCTCCACACACACACGCAGGTGAAATTAACCTATTGGTACTTCTAGTCCCATCCTACCCATGCATGAAATACATTTGAACAACAGCATTTCATTGTGAATCAAGAATAAAACGTGCTGTCTGCCTCCTTCACAGAGAAGGTGCTTTCATAGCTGACAGTGGAGGAATTGATCTGTACATCCAGTTGCTGCTTTTGCTTGTACAGAACTTTTAATCAGTGTAGAAATAGGGTGCTTCACTGCAATGGACTATAGCCTGACCTTCTACAACTACTTAGAAACTTCTTATCTCAGTTTAGTTAGTCTGAGATTATTTTAATCTAGGACACTGTAGAGGTCCTTAGTCAAGTCTCTTTTCCTCTTTACCCTGACCCTCTAGCTTTCCTTTAATGGGGAGAAGGACCTATCGAAGGGATGCAAACCGCAGCTTTTTTTATCAACCTATAAAAAGAGAAATTTGGATCTCTTATGTAGAAATCTTTCTATTGCTTTTCTTTGTCTGTCTTAGGTAGTGAAAAATGATGGCTTTGTGATATGACACAATATCCTGGCTGGCACATACCAATATGAGCTCATTGCTGGGATGATAGGAATTGGCAGTTGTGAGGGTTTCCTAGATAAGTGAGAGAAGGTTCTTTTTGGTGAGGAACTTGAGTTTTTCACAATACTCCACAGGCTCTGATGGCCCTGTTAGGAGTGAATAATCAGGGTACCTCTAGAGCTCCTCTCGTCAAGGCTTCTCTTAATATCAGGATACTGTGTGTATTATAATGGATTGATGATAATGTCCTGAAAGACTTAAAAAAAAAAAAATGCAGAGGATGTCTGTTTACAATGAAATGGGGAAAGCTGCACAGTTGTATTTTGCTTTTTCCCTGTAGCAACAGAAGCCACCGAGAGTTTCCCAGGCTTGCCAAGGTCACGGCCTGGATTGCAGCCGACTGTTGATCTGTATAAAAGAAATGTAATTGAATAATCATCATAATCTTCTCTCTTTTTTTCTGCTGCTGAGCTGCAAGCCAGTCCCCTCTCTCTCTTTCACTGTCTCTGTCCCTGTCTTTGCTCACAGTGCTGAGCCTACAGCTAGACTTTGAGCTTCATGTCTCATTGTGTTGCTTTTGAACCAGTCGAGTCTGATCATTCTCTCCTTCGTAATTTGCCTTCCAATTTTCCCTTCCCAGTAGGAGTGCCTTACAGTACTGTATATTAGTGTCTATCTTCCTGTTTTGGATTTCCTGATTGAATCTGCTGTTCGATTAACTTGTAGGCTTAAACTGAAACTCTCCCGTGGCTGTGCATGCTCTTTTGCAGGGGCAGCTGAGTAAATCAGTTTTGCTTGTTCTGCCCTCATGAAGTGAGCTCTACAGGCTGCATATACCAGCTCTGAAGACACCAAGCTGCATGGAAACCCCTCACTTCTGCTCAATTCGGTGCCTTAAAGTTTCAAAAGTGAAGAATTTTTTCAGGAATGCTCTGCCATGATGCAGCGTGTTTGGCATTGGAGCTCGAAACCCTTGCTTATGGCAGTTTCCATCTTGCTAGGAATGGTGACCATAAAATTTGTTTACTGTCTGTGCTTTGAGAGGGAAATATGAGAAAGGATAGCATGGATGTGGCATTGGTTTTTATTACCTGTATTTTGGAGACTAGCTGGGCTTCTCTTCAGCCAGAAATGCGGCTGTGCTTATGCGAGACCTTCAGGAGCTGTGCATATATAATAATGGCAAGCACTGGGCATTAAAACGGGATCAGGTCATGTGTAATTTTGCTCCTCCTGGAATCACTGGCCAGCCCACGCCACGTGGCGAGGGACTCCTTTACGGTGCTCCCTACCCGCATGGCACAGCTGGGTCCAGTGCAGTGGGAGTGAAGACTTTTCCTCAAAGCTTAATTTTAATGCAGCCTGGCTCCCTGAAGGCTAACCCAGTGAGGGTTTGGTCAGCATTACCTTAGAGAAGGGTTAACCTGCTTAAATTTTGCCATTATTTGCTAAAGTACGTGGCTAACTCTTGCAGCATGTGTCAGCCCTGGGCACATGCCCATACTGACTGTGATCTTTTAAGTCCACGTTTGACACCAGTAGCAGGAATCCCGTTAGACAACAGCAGTGCTGTCGCTGCATTTTAGCAGTGTAGTGAGGAAACAGCACGGTTGATAATGTGCAAAGTCCTTCTTTACTTGAAAAAACCCTGGTGTGCACACACTGGCTTGGGTCATATCTTAAAATGCCAATTTCATCAAAATTCCTAGGGTGGGCATTAATCCAAATCGCAAAGATGCCACTTGCGGGCAGCATCAGAGAAATCCAGGCCTGGAAAGCTATCAGCTGTCTAGGACCAAAGTGTATTAGGCCTCGTCTACGTGCACCAGTGTCAGTGGCTCAATTATTTATTTATTCGTGTCTAATCCACGCATTAAACCAATATAAATCCTTGAATACATAGCGTTGTTTTGGTGAAAAAAGGATTTGTTTCAGTTTTGCTTATGCGCTTGTCTACAAAGTCGATCTTGCTTAAACTAAAGTGTGTTTTCAGACTGATTTTTAATGGCATTGATACCTGTGATATCAGGTTAGCTTATACCAGACCCTTCTATACTTGAGCTAAGCAAAAGTAAGAATTCATGGGCAAGATGTGTGTTTGAAGGGTTTTAAGCGATAAAGGCAGTTTCCAAATCAACTTTAGTTCAGTTGAGGCAGTTAGAGGCTGGGGGAAGCCAGGCGTGAACAGCAGAGCGCAGCGGCTGGTGCTGTCCCTGGCAGCCCGGGCTTTCCTTCCCGCCGGAGCACCAGCTCACCTGCAGCACTTGCAATGGATTTTAGCATCACTGGCAGCGCACCCTGAGTTTTTGGAAAACCCTTACGTGTGTGTGCTACTCTGTTAACTTATTGGCGACATCATTGTGTGTGTTTCATTGTTCTTGTGTTTGTTTTGTTTTTTTTTTACTTTTGGCAAGGCTTTTTTTAAATTATCTGCAGCTATTAGGCAATAGTCTTAATTTATTATTAATGTGTAATGTTATAATTTAAATTCAGTGAGTTGAATTGCTTGTTGGCACTTGAGCAGGGTTTATTTGGGTTCACTTGTGACAGCATCAGAGCACCGGTCCCTCGTGTATAAAGGCAACTCTCAATAAACACTAAAAAAAAGTTACTCGTCCTTTTTAATTTGCCTTCTGGTGGGTACTGCACCATGGGTAGGACAAGTTTTGAAAGAGTGCTAGTTTCCTTAAAAATGCTAATCTGCTGGTGAAAGTCTTCCAAATCTAAGCAAATTATGATATTTAACCGTTCCTGAGTCTGAGCCAGAAGGTCTCTGGAAATACTGTCAGTGACTGCATCAGGCTTTGTAGGTTTGGATTCCCAGTTAAATCTCTTTAAGTGTTTTTTTAAAGCCATAAATGCCTGGATTTTTAATGGTGCTGATCCCCAACAGTTCCCAGGGGAGCTTATTGGGAGCTGTTGTTGGGCACCTTTGGATACGGAGCTCCTGGGAGGCACACGGGAGGCACAGGGAAGCAGCTCCCCACTGTGTGGCTGTCACATGGACCGCTGCCAAAAGGGTCCAGGCTAAAGGCCTTGAATCCTAAGTGAGGGAGGCATCTCCCAGCTGGACTGAAGGAACCACTGAAGAGCTGGGAGGGCAGGATTTTGCCCACGTAGTAAGGGCTCTCCAACCAACAGGTGTAGGAGCAAGCATGATTCCTGCCTTTCTGGGCTGCTTCTTCCAGTGCAGCAGCTGAGGAGCTTCTGCAGCTCCCTGGAGCTGTGGATTTGATGACTGTAAGGATTGCAGCACTGAGCCTTGATGGAGCTCATGAGCCTAAACCCCCTGCCTGAGGGTCCCCAGAGAAATCCACACCTAGCCCCATGCTCTCGTGGCCTTCAAAGAAAAGGATATATCCCCTCCTTCACTGCCCTCCTGCCCCTTCTCAGAAAGACCAGAAGTCCACCAGGAATGTCAATCCTCTCTTCTGCAGGGACCTTTGGACTTCATCCCTGTGATGAAATCGGCTACAAGCAAAGAGTTAATGTTTGACTGGGACCACACAAGCTGCACGAGAAAACCATGTGCAAGACCTTCTCTTCCTCCTTATTTGCTTTACAAGGTGAGCAAATTCCGTTACGATGTCTCCTTCCCCTTTCACTGCCACTTCCCCTCCTCACTTTACCCTGTAAGAGATGGTGGGAAAAAGCATCAACACAGAGCAGAGACCATGGGGTCTAGGGAGCCCTGGGAGGAGCACTTTGGGGTTTTTTTTCTGTCCTCCTGTGGCTGTATTTACACAGCTTCTTCTCTCCTCCTTGACCCTTCCCAGCTTCTCTGTTGTGCTGTTACAGTGTACGAACCGTCACTGAAATGAGCTGCTGAAGGGACATACTCCAATGGCTGTCATGGGCAACTTGGGGCTGGAGTTTCAAGCAACATTTCTTTCGGTTTCAGTCAGGAGCTAAAGTGGTGGGATTTTTCTCCCTGTTGTACATTGTCATTACGTGAAAGCTGTGTTCTCTCCGGTGAAGTGTAACTCTGCCAATAAAACCTTACACTGGCAGCCCTGTTCTTAACTCCTGCACGCACACCCCGAAAAGTGACGCTTTTTGGGTTGTTCTGTTAACCATTTGTGTTAATTTATCAGCTAGCCTTTAATGCAGCAGGCCATAGAAAATACCAGTCAGACTGTGAATTGCAGCGGGCCCTCCAGGTCCCTTGGGCAATGGTAGCAAAGTGGCATTTGTTTCTGATGCTGAGCAAAGGAGGCAGACTAGCACCCACAGAGTATCCACCCACCTTGTTCTCTTCATGGTTGATACTCCTCATGCTGGTGGGACAAGTCAGTGTTTTATAACCATATAAGCTTATGTGTTTGGGAATATTAGATCATGGGCAAATCTTAGAACCCCGTAGGTCCAACAGCCAGTCTTTTGGATTTTGTTCTTTCATGTTCTCATTACATGTTAAATGCTTTACAATAGGTTGAGTCAGGAGAGTTGATCATCTTCTGTGGCCAAGTCTCATGAGTAGTTCATGAGTGGTTCCATGGTTCATGGAACCCATGATATGGTTCATATCACCTGAGCATGCCAAGCCAAGCTCCAGCTCTTCTCTCAAAGGTCAGGACAGTTCATTTTTAAAAAGTTACCCTTCTAGCTCTTAGACCAGAATTAACAGTATTTGGTTTAATATGGGAAGTTAACTGGTTTTCTAAAAGGTGGCAGAACTGAAATGCAGCCCTTCTGGGAATAAGTGACAGTGTCCACAAGTTTATGAAGTCCTGCGGACACTGTCTAAAATAAATCAAATGGTACAAGCTCCTTGTCCAGAACTGTGCTCCAGGCTCAAGGAAACTTTTTTTTTCTTTCAACTTTTCCGTAACATGTATGATACAATCCCAATTACAGTATAGTAATAGATTAACCCAAATGGAGCTAGCTTCCTCCTTCTTTCCTTAGGGACGGAGAGGGACCTTCCAGGTCTGAGGCTTACCATACCTTTTCAGTGAAAGGCATGCTGAGGGCAAACGAAAATATTCTGGGAGTGTGTGTACATAGCTCTGGGCTGTCTTTTTAAAATAGTTCTCGTTTAACTAAATACTCTCCAAAATAGTGGTCCCATCTAAAGGCCTGAGTATTACCACTATAAGAAGGTGGTGAAAAGCATCTCAGATAATCAGGTGTCACAAGTAAAACCAGACAAAGTCTCCAAGGCAAGCAGGAGTAAATTCCAACCATTTTAAGCGTAGACAAATATAAAACTTGGCATTGAGGCTGTAAACATGCTAAAAAGTCAGCCTGCTGTTTATAGTAAGTGACTTTTGATTTTCTATAATTGAGTTCGAGGCATTAGCCTCCGATATTAAAAATGAAGGTGCGAGGCTCATCTGGAAAGCAAGAGAAGTGAGATAATAGCTTGTGTTAAGGGCTGAACTTTCATTGACTTGAAAATTCCCAGGTATTTATTGTGTAGATACAATATGATGTATTTACAGGTGAATAAGAAGGAATTGTTAGTGAAGTTAAGTATTGTTTAAAAATAAGAAAGTGCAAGTTACTGAATCTGTGTAAGAAAGTAATAGATTTAATCAGTGTGCATGGAGCAGTTCAGTCCAAAGTGCTTTCATAGCACTAAAGGTTGTAAGTTAATCTCATTTGTGACTGACACTGCAGGCAGATACCTAAAGTACAGCGACTAAGTCATGAAACACGATGAGTGCCTCTCCACTGAATTGTGCCTTGCCCTGCAAGTAATCCCACTGATTTCTGAGAGCAGAGGGTACAGACTCCTGGAGGAGCAAGGTTAGGGTGGAAGAACTGAGACCCCAGCACGTACCATTCTGTCATCAGACATCGGCGGCACGCAATTGCTTGTGACACTGGTGGATGTTGTTTGTTGTGTACATATTGCAAAATGTCTTGTTCTGACTTGGACTCTGCACTTTGAAGAGTACTCGTCTTTGATTTAACAGACAGCATGAGATCCTTTAAGCAGATACAAGCTCTGCTGACTCCAATGAAAGCTCCAGTTTGTGAAAGAACCAGAGATGGGCTCTCAGTGTTTAGAGACATGAGCTGTAGCAGTGTATAAAATTGGCAGATTCCTTGTAAAATGCATGTGCATATAGCACAGAGTTAACCCTGGGTGATAGCAAGTAAAAGAGGGCGAAAGTATAATAAAATATGGGTCTCTACTGTAGGTATTTACACAGTATTGACATTGTTAGCTGTGCTTAGAGATTTATGTCAAGTGTTACTGCGCTGTCATAAAACAATAAAGTACTTCTGTGAAGGGCTTAGGGCAAAGGGGAGGCAGAGAAGTCTCACTATATAAGGCCCTCCTCCAGCACCCGTGGTAATCCATGGGAATGTTTCCATAGCTGTCGGCAGGAGCTGTGTGGAGGCCTGCTAGGGGAGGGCGAGCAGAAGCAGCACATTTACTATGTTTAGAGCAGGTAACTAGTGATTTTGTCTCAGGGAGGATATTGCCACCACCAAATTTTAGGAGCCTAACGCAGCTGACAAGTCCACCTTGCAATCAGTGGAGAGAGATGAGGGTTCCTCCTGGGAGCAGGGATATATCTGAACTGAATTGCCCTCTGGTGTTCTGTAGAAATGCTGACAAGGACCCATAAAAGCTGAGAGATGACATTAAGAAAAATACTGTGCTTAGGGCGGCCATGAGGTGAAAAGGGCAAGAGTCCAGCGTCTCAGGGTTTCTACACAGCATACCCTGGACTCGGCACACTTTCAGCTCTAGGCTGTTGCAGCTCCACTTCTCACATTGGGCTCACAGTAGGCTTCCCCTCAACATTTTGGCTGCAGGACCAGACTTTGCAGCTGAACTCAGTGTTTATATGTAGTGGACCAAACTGAAATGCCACTCCCAATCAGTCAGAGCACCAGGGAGTTTAGATCCAGGCACAGTGCCTGCCTGTCTGTGGGTCTGTGGCTCCAGTTTGTTCTCCCTGCTCATTGTCTCCGCTCTTCATGAGGTTATGGCAAGCTTTCTTCTCCAAGCCATGCTGATACATGGGACCTGTTAGTCTTGCTGCAGAAAAGTATTGCTCTTCCATCAGAGGTGGTTCCTATGTAGTTGTTCCTTGGTTAGATGCCACTGCATGGGAATGTGTTTTCCTGCTTCTTTCCAGATGCAGGAGGTAATTCTTTTCCATCAAAGCATTTAGCAGAAATGTTCCCCGTCATAGTCCCACAGCTGTCCTGTGAGGGGTGGGAAAGTTACCTGCTTCCTGACCCTGTTCTGGACAATGCTGCTCAAAAATCAGCCAGCTTCAAAAAAGAGAAGCATCTCTGTCAAGAAGGGACATTTCAGAGCCCTTCATAAACCTGAGTGTTGCTGCCAGCCTGGCTTGCCTTGCTTTCCCTGTCAGGAACCAGAGTGCTCCACACCTGCTGGTCTTCACTGTTCTCTGAGGGAGCCGATATGGGCTGTTTGGAAAACAAGTGGGTAGGCGT